TTTTTTTTTTTTTTTTTTTACAAATTGACACTGTACAAAGAGTTCAAATGGCCAGTAAAACTACTGCCTGAAAACTGTTGGCTTGAAGTAACAGAGGTATAATTTGAATTCACATCAGTACTTTTTAAAGTGGCAACAGTACAAGTATAGATCTTTTCTAGTCTCCAGACCTGTTCTGGCTCTCCCTGGTCTGAGGACTGCTTTCTGGAAAGCCTCTAAAACTGCCACAACGTCCTATAAAAGTGACAAAAGTTGGCATGCTCATTGCCCTTGCTTACCTTTGTAACACTGGGCTAAACAGAAAATGGAAATACAGTCAACAGTAACTTGTACAGTAGCTAATTCTGGATTAGACAGCTTGGTAATGTTGATAACTATTCAGAGTGAGGTTCTCAGAAGAAATAAACAATTCACCCCAAATTAGGCCAAACCCTACATTAAGAGAAAACAATGCTATGAATGAACTGAATATTACAGCTCACTTGGGTCCTAGAACACCATGAACAATATAATGGACTATATATAACTTAGAATGTATTCTTACAGAGTAAGTTAATAGGGTTTACAGAGCAATGGCCTTTCTAAATTTTTATCTGATGTTTAAACTTTTGTGAGTGTTTTATTATTGTACCATATTAAGCCAATTCAATCAATAATATCCAAGTAGGAATAACTTCAGAAATGTCTTGAAAATGGACAATGAAAGAATCTTCAGAACTGAAAAGCAGGCTTTTGCTGTGAGCTTGCCTCCAAACTTGGAATATATAATATTTATTACCTGAAATTCTCAATTCCTCTTAAAATAGAAGACTACTGGATGTTTAGCCATCCCATTTCATTCAAGGCTGGCTGGTCTTAAGGGACTGACTGCATTGTTGCTAAACATGTTGCTATTTCTCATAAATACCGTTTACACTATATGTCACTTTTTTACTCAGAGTATTAAAATAACAAACATGGTCCTTTAAAGTATTCCACCTTAAGCTAAATATAAAATAAGGTAGTTTCATTAATTTCTTACTAATTAATTGGCTTAAATCTATTTATCAAATAAGAAATAGTAAACTTGGAAGTTTTACCCAGAAAGCAGATATATTCTGATTTGTTCCTACCATCTACTTAAAACAGTTCATCATTTTAGTTTAGTTCATAACATTTTCCCTGGACTAGTACTGCTATACCTCAGGAAAAGCCCCTCCCACCTATAGAAATGATGCTCAACTGTGGTCTTTTTGAGTTGTTACAAGTTCTTTAGGGAAATCTAATAACTTAATTAACATCACCGGTGCTAAAAAGTTAACTGAAGAACTGATAAATAAGTATAGTTTTACTGCACTTCACCTATTTTAATCAAAACAGGAATGGTAGGGTTTCCAAAGAGAATGCGTTAAAGATCAAGAACCAGAACACTGGTGAAATTCATTCATCTTCTCACACCAACATTTTTCAGGATTATAACAGTCACGTATAGGTTTAAAGAATTTGAAATTTATAAATTAAAGTATGGAATTCAATGTAACAGGGAAAAGATAAAAAGCAAAATATAGCTAATGGTGTCCAACTTTCAATGAAATTCCTGGGTAAGTATGGCTGCTGCTTTCTTCCAGTCATTTCTTCACATAAAACATTGGCTGTGTCATAAGGAATCTCCTGTGCTTCTATCACCCGAGGCCTTCTGAAATACAACACATTTCCTTTGTGACTTCAACTCAGCTGAAGTGCCGAGCTAGGCGGGCAGATCTATAGTCAGCACGAAGTTGTACGAAGGAGTGAAGGATGTTCTTGTCCAGACTGGCAAGTTGTTCTCCTGAGCAGACTTGCTTTAAGTTATCTGGAGCAACGACCAGGAGATTGCAAAGTGCATGCAGAGTGTCAAAAAGATGTAATACCATTGGAATCTGAATTGAGAAAGCAAAAGAAAAGCATTGAACCAGAACAACTTACTTCCTAGTTCTGCAAATTCTTCTCACATACTGGTTGTATGGGAGACATTCCATATGTTAGAATTTTTAAAGCTTCTGAAGAGCTAAATCTCAAAAGTTTCCATAGTTAAAACTCTTAATAATCTTTGAAAAGATCCATATTATTCAATTTTCTCAATAATTTGTAATTTGATACACTAGAACTAATTATCATTAGTATAGCACCTTTAAAAATAACTTAAATATAAAAGAAAACTGATTTTAGAGGAACACACATGAAAATAAGGGTATTTTCCTAATGTGTGACATAACCATAATTTTTCATGAATGTTAAAAGGCACCTGGATGGAATGTGCTGAAATATGACCTTAACTAAAATAAAACCCCTAGGGGGAAATGCTAATATTGAAATATAACTGGAATAACTGCCTTTAGGTAAGCTGTATTAGAACTCTCCTTATGATGCCAATGAAATCACACACTTCTTAACAAGTCAGTATAGGTTTTTAATGGTATGGCTTGCAAGCTCGATATTTGTTTAAACGTACCTTGAAGTCTTTGGCACATTTTCTATATTCAGCTACGTCGCAAATTGCTAACATGCCACCCATACAACTATAGGAATATTGTTGAAGATGCTCATAAATGAGCCGATGAAAACGTACTCCAAGTTCCATCAGAACTGTGTCCACATTCTTCCCATCCATGGAATTTTTAATCTTCTCAACTTGTTTTCTTACATAAGCACAGACTTTTACGCATGCCTGTAAAAGTTTTTCTACACTTATTATACAGATATGTGTATTAGCTTAGCAAAGAAAAATAGTTTTTCAATTTCCAAGTATAAGAGAAAAAACTTAAAACACAATTATGCACACTAATGATTGTTCAAGCTTTAATAAAGAAGATAATATATTAGCAAACTGAATAGTTCCACTCACATTAGTATACTGAATCAAAACATTGTTTTCATCTTCTGGCTTAAAATCTGTTTTCTTTTGTTCTGCAGCCAAGATATGCTTCATCTGACCAATCATACAATTTAATGTCCTAAAGATTGAGAACACAAAATATATGACACATTTAATTTACTCAATTTTACCTTTGTATTATACTGAATTAAGTTAAAGTATTTAATTTCCTATCATTACAAAACACTTTGGTATTGGCAAACTAGAATTTAGAAAAAAAAAGTCATTTTATGACTTGATATCCAAGAGCTCCTGGTTTTATCATCTTTCTCCCATGAAAAGATCTTTGCAATCTACCAATAGTTACTTCCTAGCTAAGGCTCTTCTAAGGCAAAGCCATACATAGAGAATCTTAAGGAAAGTGGAAGATAAAAGGCTTCAAAAGAATGGCTGTGGTAGTAGGCACATTGAGTCCCATAGTTAAAGGACAATCAGGAAGATGAACAAGTGCACTAAATCCCAGCTGAGAAATAAAGGCACTGGTTAGAAGGCACCAATAATATCTAACTTGTGTGATATTCTCCAAAAATAAGCTTATGGGAATAAAACAGACTACACTAATTTAGAGTTCAGTGGCTGCAAGCAGAGTGGTCAAAATTATAAGTTTTAGGTTAAATTTAAGGGACAGACCACATAATTAAGCACAACAATAATGAGGTCAAGTTACAAAATAACAGTAGACCAACATAAGATGGTGAGATTAGGATACAGATCACAGTCAACACTGTGCCTGATATATGGCAAATACTTGATAACAGGGAGCTATAGTAATTTTCAATCAATATAAGACCACCATCATCTGAAAACAGAAACCTGGAAAGTAACAGTATTTATAGTCTTCAGTAAATATTATAAAAAGTTTTAAAATTCACTCAACAGAAGTTACATGTACAAAACCAGTACAACTATTAAAATATTTCATAGATAAGCCAGAACACACTACATGGAAATATAACAATAAACACTGCATACCTTTGTTGTTTTAGCAGCACTAAGGATTGAACCAAGGGTTCTCAGACACTAAAGTACCCTTACCCCTACACTATATCCCATCCCTGCATCTCATTTTTCAAAGGAATTTGTAGCTTGTATAAGTGTGGTACAGAGGAATGGGGTTTAAAAAGTATTTCTAACTGTTTTGACTTGAAAGTATATCTAAGTACACTGACTTTCAAAACAAAACAAAACAAAAAACACCATGGGGATTAATAAAAATAACATTCTCCTAAAAATAAGAACAATATATTAAAGTATCAACTTTACTGCCAGAAGAGTAAAAATAAACAATGTTCATGCTGCAATGCAAATGCACTTCTACAATTTTTAAAAATGCAAGGGAAAAAAGAGAGAAAAACAGTTAACTTGCCTATCGATGCCAGTATCCAATTTCATCTCCATCTGCTCAATTATCTCTTTTTTTTTCTGAAGGCATTCAGATAATTTAGGAGAAGAGCTATTGTTTATTAAAGAGGAAAACAAACTCCAGTTAATAACCTACTTTCTAAGTTTCTAATCTGTACATCATGAATACATATTTGTAAATACATTCTAACACCTATTATTTTCATTTGCTCACATACCCAATAATTACAAAATAAATCATTACATACAATTATGTACATTAGCATACCCAATTCATTCACACTAGAAAAATTAACCCATTAAGAGCAAAGCAAAGACAGACTTGTTATTCTGACCTCTGAGGAGATAGCACTTAACATCACCATATAGCTTTGAAATTTTGAAATTAGTTTCCTCTGTATCTAAATATCTGGTATAATAGTAAGAAAAGTCATAGACATCACCAAACTCTTAAGAATATAATTAATCCTACCAAAAAAAATGTGGACAGTAGTAAGTAAATCCAGTTTCATTTAGCTTTTTTAACTAAAAAGACAAGAAAACCTAATAATATTTGTCAGCTTCTCAATTCTATTGAAATATTAAGGAATACACAACACTACAACACCTGTGAATTATGTCACCTATGAATGTGACATAACAGCTCTTTGCAAAGTAAATCAAGAAAACTTCCTAAGCTGGGCTTGGTGGCTCATGTCTGTAATACCTGCCTGGGTTACACAGCAAACGAGTAAATTTCCTTTCCAAGTATGACTCAGGAATCACAAATGATCTGTGAGCTTGTTTCTAGTCTAGACATGTCATAGCACTGTTTAAAAAAAAAAACCAAAAACTATCAAACTCGATCATTTATCTGAACATTTCCTGCACAGATACTAGTGATGAGACAACTTTAGCAACATGTAACATTATATATTACTCCATTTAATTTTCAAATGCTTTAGAAGTCCATATAAATTGATATGACAATATGAACCAAATCTTGATGCTTTATTAAAATTTGTTCATTCACGTTTCTTGTATGTCTTTATAACAAGTGTATTGTGTCTATTGGTGTGTGTGTGTGTGTGTGTGTGTGTGTGTGTGTGTGTGTGTGTGTGTGTTACTTGGGAGTGAGCCCAGGACCTTGCAGATTCTAAAGCAAGATCTACCACTGAGCTACATCCTTAACTTTAAAAAAGAACTTTTTAATTTTCTTTTTGATAGTATAACAATTACATAATTTCTCTAGTCCCTTTATTCCCTGAAAACTCCCCCTAAATACCCCTCCTACCCTCAGCCCTTAGAGAAAAAAGAAAACAAAAAACAAAAACAAACAAACAAAAAACCATCTTTTGAGACTGGGTCTTGGTTGTCCAAGCTGACTTTGAAATCATAATGTTGACTAGACTGCCTCAAACTTGAGATCCTCCTGCCTCAGCCTCCTGAGTAGCTAAGATTTCAGGTGTGCACTACCATGCCTGGTACCTAGCTGCACTAGGCTGGAAGGCCTTTTTCATGTTAGATTTCCAATTTTGGTAATGATAGTTAAAAACTTTTCAAATATATCAAAATTAACAGCACAGTGGGAAGAGAAAACAAGAATTCAAGGAATTCAAGAAAAGAAGAAAATACTTATTTCAAACCTCCTGTCCTATTTGATGTTTTCATGAACATGTATTATTTAAAAAAAAAATAAAAATATAATACTCATTGAAATACCAATGAAAATATGACAATGCAACTAACCTTATTAGTGGCATAAGGTGATCATTAAACTGTTTGTCAAAAAGATGAAAAATAGTATTGGCCTGTTGTACAACATCCAAAAAATAGAGATTTGCATTCCTAGAATCTGATGATGGAATTCCTAAAATTGGAAGGCACAGATAAGTGAGAAGCAACCTTGAAAAACACTGGGCAAAAGAATGATTTTATATATACCACGCGAATAAAAGTAACTGACATTTAATAAATCAGCAATGGTTCTACAGAGATTTTGTTAAACAGCTTAACAAAATTCATCCAAAGCTATTTTTATAACCCAAAGTTAACCATCCTCATGGTTCATTTAGATGAACGGAAATGAATCAACACAGAGCCTGGGCTCTACCTTCTTCTTCCCCCAAACCTCTGACCATGTCTCATGGACACATCCAACCATCTTCCTTCTAACAAGTCTCCCTCCCTCTGACATCAAAGTGTTTTCCTTGTGGTCTTCTACTTCAGTTTCTACCCTCTACTCTACATAGACTCCTGTCAATGACACACTGCACTCATCATGGTCTCTACTCTGTCCTCAAAAATATCCAAAATCTCATCACCTCAACATCTCCTACTATTCTGTGTGGTCATCAACCACATTCTGACACCAAAGGTGGAACTGAAACCTCTCTGGATCTGTCTCCTCCTTTCATAATGAGTAACGCACAGACTCAAGGTTCCTTGTTCTTTTTAGCTCTAATTGCCTGTGTTTCTATCCAGTTAAGACTAGACTAAGAAAAACACCCACAGCTAATGATAATATATAACCTTATAAACTGGAGTTCTTTATATGATGATTCTTCAACTTTACAATTGGAAAACAAAGGTGTTGTTTTGTACAAAAGAAACAATTGGGTGGTAGGAAAATTAAAGGTGCCAACACAAACATAATAAACTGAAGCACATGTAAAAAACACTAATCATAATAAAACATGGAAATTAAGACAGTACTCATGAATGTTTTTAACCAATAAAATAAAAAAAAATTGAAGAATATTTAGTAGCATATATAAAAACTGATATACACATATAAGCTAGAAGCAGCAGAAATTGTAGGGAACAAGCCTCTCAGGAAAAATGGTAAATTAATTTAAAATAATAAATAATTTAAAGTAAGTTTTAAATTAAAGATTTAAGTAATGAAAATTATTTTAAAATATGTATACATAATATGCTTTGACTTGGGATTTTACCTAAAAAGAGTAAACTCTACAATGCTACTCCAGCATTGTTTCTTATCACCTGGCTGAATTTTATGTAATCATTAAAAACAATGACCAAGAGTACTAACTATATGAGGAATATTCCCCATCCAAATGAAAATTTCCTAAACATTTCCAAGTTCAGAATACTGCTAGTAAAATGAAGAGGAAGGTTTCCATACTAGATAAACAATAAATCCTTCATATCAGATTTAAATTCACATTACTTTATCATCTTTTTTAATAAACAATTTATTTGAGTGTGTGTGTGAGAGACATGTGTATTAGTCAGAAGACAACACTCAGGAGTCAGTTATCTCCTTCCACCATGGGACTGAACTCAGGTTGTCAGGCTTGGCAGCAAGCAATTTCACTGCTGGGCCATTTTGCTGGTCCTTATTCTTATTTAATATCTTTTGTAGTTACCACATTTTTGAAGATTTAAATCATTTCAATACAAATGACCATACTAAGTCATTTACTGCCAGCATGGGTTAAATATTTGATGTCAATAGTTTGCTATAATTAAGTTAAAATACATTGTTGCTTATGAAGGTAATAAATGAGTTATGCCAAAGTGACTGATTTATGGCTAAATTTGGTTCATTACTAAAGGTTTCTAGGATGGTGTTCTACACGGGCAAAAAGAGACTTTTTGAACTGTAAATGCTTTCTATGTGCCAGAGTATAATGCTGGGGGTAGGGATACTGAACAAATTGAGATTCCAACTCTTAAGAACTTATAAGCTGTTGTCTCTACTTACAAAAGTTTTACTTCAAATATTTAGTTTACTCACCACTTTAATGAGCTCTCTGATTCATGTGTCTTCTCAGAGGCCTTCTCTGACTACCCTTTCATAATAAGCTTTTGGGGGGCTGGCGAGATGGCTCAGTGGGTAAAGGTACTTGCTGCCAAGCCTGACCACATGAGTTCGATCCCTGGAACAAATATGGTGGAAAGAGAGAACCAACTCCTGCAAGTTGTCCTCTGACTTCTACATGTGTGAACACACACAAAGTAAATAATAAATAATGTAAAAGAAAAAGGATTTCTGCCTATAAATCCTTCACTCTGCTTCCCCAATAGTATTCTCTACCCCTTATCCAGTTTTGATTTTACCGTACTTCCTAATAAGTTGTCTATTATTTTTACAAGAATATGAACCCATGATTAGGCATGTAAAAAATATGTGCTAAATGAAAGAATACTGACAGGAGACAGACATTAACAAATAGAAATGTCATTGTGGTATTATTATAAAAAGTAAATTTAATAATGAATAATGGATAACTACGCTGCAACAGGAGCACTTTATGTGAGGTGATCAGCACAAGTGTCTCTGAAAAGGTGACATCTTAGTTGAGGTCAGGTTAAAAGACAAGTGTAAAGAGCCAAGGCAAATGAAGCATAGTGAGGAACATGTGGAACACACCACAGATCGCGTTGTTCTAAGCAGTTTTTTTTTTTTTTGGTTTTTCGAGACAGGGTTTCTCTGTGTAGCTTCCAGGCTGGCCTCGAACTCACAAAGATCCGCCTGCCTCTGCCTCCCGAGTGCTGGGATTAAAGGCGTGCGCCACCACCGCCCGGCTAGCAGTTTGTTTTTAATTTCCCTCAAGAGTAATAACCACTAAGGAGTCTTCAACAAGAAAATAAGAATAAAGCTGGCTATTACACAGTAACTTAGGAAGGCAAGAATGGACACAGGAACCAGTTAGGAGATGACAGTGTTTAAGGTGGGGTTACATCAGTAGATGAAGCAAAGTAGATAAACAAGCTATATTTGGATGTATACTGACAGGATTTGCTGATGAACTGGCTATCAGCAATGAAAACAGGAAGGTTAAGCACTTTCTGGGTTTGGTAAATAACTACTTCCTTAAAATCTTGGGAGAACAGTGTTGGAGGAAGACAATCTGTTTGCTTTGTTATTTTAGGTTATTCAGAAATCATTATATAGTCTAGGCTGACCTCAAACTAATAGTGACCTCTGCCTTGGCCTCCTGCATGCTGGGATTGCAGGCGTGAACCACCATGCCTAGCTGAAGAGTTTCATTTTTGAAATGTTAAATCTGAGATACTCACTTAACAGGTCATGGGGTCAGGTAGTAAACCCAAAAGAACAAGGCCAAAAAATTTAATATAAATTTATTCCTTTCCAAATTTATTTTTAAATATTTTCTCTCTAAATTTTGTTACTTAATTCCGAAGCAGAATTATTCTTATCTCTATGTATGCTTCTTGACATTTTATAGCATAGAGCATTGTTATAAATTCTGCCAATATATTGTGCTGTGTTTTGTAGTCTATGGCCTTACTCCACTGGATGTAAACAATATGAGAGAATTATGCCTATGTTTAGTTTCCAGCACCTCACACATCCTAGTATTATATAAGCTCTAGATACATTGTATTGAACTGAATTTATCACATAGAAGTCATATACAAAACAGCATTAAGAGTACTGGTCAACCAAACAGGACCAAAGGCGTTTAAAAAGAAAGTATAGTATAAGTATACTTACCAGCAAGCCCCGTTTCTAATGCATAATCAATATGCTCAATACATAAAAATTCCACAAGAATGGTAAAAATTCTAAAGGCATTCCTTGGTAAATCAGAAGGATCAGACAGCTTTAAAAACAAGCAAAAACAGTATTACTCTTCAAATCTATATTTTTAAAAAGCCAACTCTTAATAAAGCAATCCCTTTTGTGTAGAACACTATTTCAGGTAACAAAATGTCAGTGTTCCCCTCTCACTGTCCACAAAACAGTTATAAGGCTCTGGATTGGTCTGTAACTCTCCTGATCTAGAGCAGTGTTTTTTCAAATCTAGATTGTATGTAATCCATGAGTGAAATCCAATTATACTTTCAAGAGACACAGACAGACAGACAGACAGACAGACAGACAGACACACACACACACACACACATGCATACTCTGCTTCCATGTGAGATGCATTTTTAACTATGGTGATCACAGTGAAAGAAGTTTGAGAGCCACTAACAAAGAGGGTTGTTCTAGTAAAACTCAAAACAAAACTGTAAAGATTCTCATGGAATTAGGATATGAAATCAATTAATATTCATAGTAAAATATAAGAAATCAAATTTTAACTCATCACATCTGGTGGAGCAAGACTTTAGAATGTTACTGAGCTTCCCTACATCTCATTTTCTTCATTTATACGATAGTCTAACATTGACAGTATTTCACTTTAGTCTTAAGGTTCGAATAAAACAGGAAAATTGCAAAGTGTTTGTAACACAGAACCTGATTTGCACTAAGCTCACAATTTTCACTTCAATGTTGCTGTTGCTAGACTAAAGAATTATTAGTAGTTATGTTGAGAAAAATGAATTGTTCTTAAAAGGAAATTATTCTCAACTCTTTGAACTGCTTTCTATTAATTATAAATTGCTTTCTGCCTCTGTCAAAGCTACTTACAGGATCTATTTACATGACTTTCAGGGTAATGCTACAGGTGAGAATTCCTTATGCAAAAGAGTTAGGCCTAGAAGTGCTAGAGATTTTGGACTTCTTGGATTTTGAAATAATGAGGTATCTTAAGAGACTCAAGTCTAATCATAAAATTCGTTTGTTTTATAAATACCTTATATAAACAGTCCAAGGACAACTTAATACAGTATTTTTTACTAAAAACCTAACCTTAAGGCTATGAGTAGAACTTTCCAATGTGCCACCATATTAGTGATCAAGAATTTTATATTTTGGAGTGTGAAAGATTCTGTATTTTCAAACCAAGGACACTCAACCCTAACGTAATAACGAGAGCCTGACTTATAACTGAGTTTATAAAGAATTCCATAAACCACTTTAAAACCCCAGTGATTCAATATCCCCATTTGGTACTAGACTTCTTAATCGCTACGCCAACCTTTCACTCTTACTAATCTCTCTACTCCTTTTCTTTTGTTTCTGATGCTCAACAGGTGCCCTCACCTCCATCACAAATCATAAAAACTAAGCCTAAGAGTTCACCTTTCTCCTGCATATAGCCCCAAATCCATGTATAACATATAGAATAAGCAGAAAATTGATAAAAAATTAAAGAAGACATCAATGAATAAGATCTGACATTTATAGAATACTCAGCCAACAATGTGAAGGTACACATTCTCTCATGTATACAGAAAACCATCAATATGGGCTGTATGTTGCATCTCAATAAATTTAAAAAGGATTGACATCATAATGCAAAGTTTGCCCACTAACTACAATGGTATAAAATCTAAAATCCAAATAACACAACTTCACAATCACTCTAGGACAAGAAAAAAAAATCAAAGAGAAATTAAAGAGTATTTTGAAATGAATTAAAATACTAAAAAACTTAGTTTCAGCGAATGCAGTACTTGAGAATAAGGTAAGTAAATGCACACACTGGAAAAGGTCAACAAACTCAGCTTTTACATAAAAAAACCAAACCAAGACAAACAAACAACTAGGAAAGGGGCATATAGCACCTACATTGAAGGAAGGAAACAATAAGGAATAGAAATCAGAGCAGTGGTGGCACACACCTTTAATCCCAGCACTCGGGAGGCAGAGGCAGGTGGATCTCTGAGTTTGAGGCCAGCCTGGGCTACAGAGTGAGTTCCAGGACACACAGGGCTACACAGAGCAGGTCTGTCTTAAAAAAAAAAAAGAACAGAAATCAGAGATATTTAGAGAGAGAGAGAGAGATATTTAGAGAGAGAGAGAGAGAGAGAGAGAGAGAGAGAGATTAATGAAACCAAAAAGTGGTTCTTGGGGGAAAATCAGTAAAAATAATATACCTTTATCAAGATTTGTTTGGAAAAAAAAATTGGGAAACAAATACTGACGTTGGGAATAAAATAGGCAATTATTACAACAGTTTCTACAAAAAGTTATAAGACAGTAAGAAAAAGGTCATGCTGGGCGGTGGTGGCGGCGCACGTCTTTAATCCCAGCACTCGGGAGGCAGAGGCAGGCGGATCTTTGTGAGTTTGAGGCCAGCCTGGTCTACAGAGCGAGATCCAGGAAAGGCGCAAGGCTACACAGAGAAACCTTGTCTCGAAAAACCAAAAAAAAAAAAAAGAAAGAAAAAAAGAAAAAAAAAGAAAAAGGTCATGAATAACTTTATCCCAATAATACAATTTTGGTGATAAATGAAAGTCTTTAAAAGATACAAATAGGCTGATGTATTGGTGTAGTACACCTTTAATCCCAGTAACTGAGAGGGAGAAGCAGGTGGATGAATCTCTGTGAGTTGAGGTCAGCTTGGTCTACATAGTAAGACAGACCCTGTTTTAAAAACAAACAAAACTGCCAAAACTCACTTAAAATTATATTACCTGAGTATTTCTGCATGCATTAAGTAGGCTGAATTTTTAGTTAAAAATCTTTACAAACAAAACCACAGCCCCAAGTAATTTTCCTTGTGAGTTACGGCAAACGTTTAAGACAGAAAGACCATCATCTAAACCCATAAACAATTGGAAGGGGAGGCAGAAGTACTTAGCATATCATCCTATGGGTACAGCATTACCTTCATTATTAAAACAAGACAAAGACATTAAGGGCCAATATCCTTCATAAACACTGATGCAAAAATTCACAACAAAATTTAGTTCATATGGGCCAGCAAGATGGCTCAGAGAGTAGTTGGCTGCCAAGCCTGATAACGTGACTTAATTCCTGGAACCTACTTTGTAGACAAAGATCCCACTTCCTCATGTTTTCCTCTGACCTCCAAAATGTGTGCCCTGACACAATAAACAAAGGAAGTTAAAAACAAAAAAAAGTTTTGTTTCTGGTTTTTTTGTTTTGTTTTGTTTTAATTTGGCAACCCTATCCAACAATGTATAACTAGGACAATAAGAAAATGGCTAGTGATGACCAGCCGGGATTTATTAAAGGAATGCACAGTTAACATGATTCTCCCAAAAGAAAAAAGAAAACATTTAACAAAAAGTAACAAAAAATCTTTTGTTTTATTTCATTTGTTTGTTTATCTGTGTGATACAGTCTCCTGTGGCCAAGGCTGGCTTCAAACTCATCATGCAGCCAACGATAACCCTGAACTCGAGATCTCCCACCTCTACTTCCCAAGTATTGGGATCTAATAATACTTAAACTTAATATGCCACTTTAATAAACCGGTATACATATCTTGCTGGAGAAATGGTTCAGCAGTTAAGAATGTGGGCTGCTTTTCTAGAGGATTCAAGTTCAATTCCCAGGCTCCAGACAGCAGCAACTGTCTATAACTCTAGTTCCAGAGGATCTGACATCCTCACACAGATATACATGAAGGCAAACACCAATCAATGCTCATACAACAAAAATAAATAAATGAAAAAAAAAAAAGACTTTCCTCAAGTTCAAAGATAGTATTCATGAAAAACCTATAGTCCCCATCACATTAAGTGGTCAAAGACAAAATGCTGTACTCCAATGGCCAGGTATAATAACAAGTGTTTGTTCTCTGCGCCTATTTTCATTCCACACTGTACTGGAACTCTAGTCAGAACAACAAGGCACAAGAACAAAAACAACAACAAAACGCATCTATATGGAAAGGAGTCAGTAAAGCTTTCTTAATGGTAAAATAACATGTCTTATATTTTTGGTTGTGAGCCTAGCCTTTAACGGCTGAGCCATCTCTCCAGCCCAAAATAACATAAGTCTATGTAGAAGGTCTAACAAATTCTACAAAAAAGATTATTGAATAGTAAACCTAACATGTAAAGACCCAACTACATACTTCCATATACCAAGTTAAACTTGAAATTAAGTAAACTTAAAAATTACATTTAATTTTTTGTTTTTTTGAGACAAGATTTCACTTTGTAGACCAAGCTGGCCTATACCTCACAATGTAGCCTGACTGGCCTTGAACTCATAGAATCCTTCAGCATCAGTCTCTCTTGTGCTGGGATTATAGGCCTGCCAAATTGAAAATGCTTTCATATTATAGTAATAAAAAATATATCAATTCTTCCCAAGTAGAATCAAAGATTCACTGTCATTCCAATCAAAACCAGACTTTCCCATGAGAGAAACTAATAAGCTATTAGACATATATGAAATACAAAATAGTGTATATGGAAATGTCAAAGGCCATACTCCCTGACTCAAGGCCTCCTGTGCCATTACAGTTAAAACAGCATGATATTGACATGAAAGATATATAATACAGAACAGAGATTAAAACAAACCATAAATAAGCAGTCAAATGATTTCAACCAAAGTAGAAAGTAATTTTTTAGAGAAAGAAGTCTTCAATAAATGATGGCAAAAATAAATGGAAACCTAATTGTAAAAAATATAAACTTCAATCCATACATGATTATATGAGATTTCTAAATTAATTCAGAGCTGACTATAGGCTTGATAAGCAAAACTGCAGATTATAAAACTACTAGAAAATCTAAAAGGCAATTCCTGTAACTCTTAGTTCCACAAAGATGTATCTGCAATACAAAAATGTACCATTCACAACAGATGTGTTAAAATGCATTTTATCTAAATTAAGAACTTCTATACTTTGAAATATTAAATTGCAAAATCATATATCTGATTAACAAACTATAACCAGATTATAGAACTTAAAAAGTGTTCAAAAGATAACCCGACTTTAAA